TGGTTCTAAAGAAAAAAAAACATTTAGAGAGTTAGTTATAGTATTTCTATCTCTGACTCTGCTCTATCTATCTATTTCTTTATCTCTATGCAAAAAAACACGTCGGGACATTTTTTCAAAAAAAGTAAATAAAAAAGTAAAAAAATTCAAAGTAAATAAAATTTAAAAAATCGACAGAAAAGGTAAAATAAAGATAAAAAAATAAAAAAAGTAAAATGCAGTATTTTTTAAAGTAAAAAAACAAAGAAAAATGTAAAAATAGTATCTACCTAAAAAATAAAAATTACTAACACGTATTTATATATATAATATTATAGAAAATAGTCATATATGCCCACTGGCCTTTGAAATTATGGTAGGGCCCACTGATTTAAAAAAAAATCGATACTATCACTATATTATGTTTTGTTAACATGTTAAGAATGTATCTTTCTAATCACAGCTCTTTATCTCAAAGAAGTATTAAATAAAACTTACCCAACTAATCTAAGATCATGTGGATGTGCCATGTTGAGAGAAGGAGTGTAGAAAATCTTCTTGTTACACCAAACCACACTTTAAAACTAGAGGTGTGTTGCGATTTCGCAAACTGCTACTTTGTCACTGCTCCGGTGGCGTCGCAATCGCAAACTGCTCCGCGGCAGTAAAAATCGCAGCGACATTTCGGAGCAATTTAAAATTTAAATTGCTCCGAAATTTTAATTATACCAGGCCGTCGCTGTTGCTCTCTTCAGCAGCGACCGTGTGGGGAATTGTTCCACATGTATTTATCAATATGTGATTGAACTTATTGGTAGATAACTCGTACAAAAAACTTTTTAAACTTAGGTTTGCTTTTAAATGTTTATAGTTTTTAGGTTTAAACAGTTGGTACGGTACCACGGAAAAGCAGTCATTCGACTTTATGCTGTCCTAATACTTACGGGCATTTAAAATCTTATTTAAACGGGCGTTTAAAAAAACTATTTCAAATTTTTTCTTTCTATTTTTGCCTGCGGCCGAAAATCTATGTTAAATTATTGTGATAAATAGCAATTTACGGTTTTATCGTTATTTAATGCTTTTTAATATCAGTGAAAAAAATTATTTTGATAAATAGCAACTCACGGTTTAATATTTTTTTTAATATCAGTGAAAATACACAATTCGTAAAATATCGCTAAGTGAAAAATCACAGATCACGCTAATTAATAGATGTAAGTAGCAGTCGTTATTCGTGATTTTTAAATATCAGTGAAAAAATCACAGTTCGTGAAATATCGCTTATCTCTAGTTGCTTCGCCGTTCGCACTTTCGCCAGTGTTTTGCTTTTACCGTGGCACTGCTCAAACAAAACTGCTCTGGAGCATCGCAAATCGCATTGCTTCGAAAAATCGCTGCTTTTTGTCACAGTGTTCCGGCCGGAGCAGTCGCAATGCATCGCAGCTCTTGAAAAATCGCAAACCGGCCCACCTCTATTTAAAACTAATTCAAAATTTGACAATTTAACAGCTGATGCTTTATTTTGCTTAATATTAGCAGCGACACCTATTATCATTCAGTCTAATTCCGAAAAAATAATAAAAAGCAGGTACCTGTAATTTGTCCTTATGGAAGGACAGTGGGCATATCTGCATAGCTGCATAACAAGCAAACTTTTTCGCGATTTTCTTAATGGGTCCAAGCTTGAGTTTTCACATACATTATTTAAACGTTCATTATTATAAGGTTCAGAATTTGACAATAAACTATTCTGCAGCTTAAAGCTCAATGTGTAGTTCAACTATGTCCGTAAAGTAAACAGTTTGACAGATGACCTTTCTTTGTGGCGCCACCTCACGGGAAAATAGTAAAATCTCTTCGCGCGAAGGACTCGATTTTGATTGTTATAATGTCATAATGACTCTTATTTAGTAAACCTGATTGATTTGCAAGCAAAATTATTCATTTTTGTAATTTTTTGCTCTAAATTTCGATTTCCGACGAAACGGCTCGGGCAATTTTGCTATAAACGGGTGTTTGAGCTTATTTTAATATATATTTTCGAAATCTGTCATAAAAAACGTGGTGCTAATCCGGTCAAGTTATATTACATAAATATATACCGTAAATTTGGAAGACTTTGGTCCACTTTTGAACTTTGAGGTCCTGTAACTTTTTACAGGAAAGAGTAAATTACTTGTTCTTAAGGTAGTTGTCGTGGTACAATATTGTCAAAAATTTTTAGATTAAACGCACCGTAAAAGTATACGCGCTTGTAGCTAAGTAATTCATAATTTTTTCGCCCTGTACCCTTGGAGACGTTACCTTTACGTAATACTTTCAAATATTTTCATAAGTTTTAATCCGGCTCTTATGCTCAACCAATAGATATATTGGAGACTGAATCAGTCTGTTTGAATTTACTGCGAAAATAATATCTATTCTCGCGTACAGCGTTGCCAAGTTGTTTTTATCTGACACTAGTGATGTATACTTTTTTACAAATTGTTGAACTTTAAACGGATATTTATAAACAATTGGACGGTCAAAATTTTTTAAAAGACTGTTAGTTTTTTGAAAGCTTCTGACAGTTAGTTTTTTTTATAACTAAGAAACTGGTACAGAACTACAGAAAGCGTATACAATCCATGTTAATTATCCAATTTTTAATTGAATTTATCTCGGGTTATAGACGGTCAATCGACTTCAAATTTTAAGGATAATTGTATTGTCATGTCCCTAATAAGTATACAAAAATTTAAAATTTTCTGATGGTATGCTTACAGCACGACAACTACCTTAATATCATTTTATAGGCCGTTAATAGTACTTAAAGTACACCAAATTTTACACTTAAAGAAAATATGGGTGGCCAAAGTCAAAAAACAATGTTAGGTCATTTAGGCCACCTTTGGTTTTTTTATGAAAATGCAAAGATAAGCGAGAAAATAGACGACTTTTGCCACTAATATTTTTTCAATGTTGCGAGTGGCCACTAATATTTTTTTTCAATTTTGCGAGTAAATTCCATAAAAAAAGTTGTAAATTCGACAAAAAAACTATAAAAAAATATGTGAAATAGACGTCACTAGTGTACTCTCCACAAAAAAGTTTTCGACAGTAAAAAAAATCCCCTTTTTTTCATAATTTTTTGAGCCCTACAGTACTAAATTTAACAACTTTTTTGTGTTAATTATTTTTATATTTAGTATAAAAACATTAAACAATTGAAACAAGAGTTTTAATTGCAAATCTGCACAGTATATAGCCAAAGTCACCCAGGGGAGCTAAAGCCACCCAAGTTTACGGTTCATAATTATAATACATACGCAAATACATAAAAATAGACATAATAGGCACCCTGTAAATATATACCAAAATATAAAATAAAATAAAAAAGTATTTACTGGATATGTTTAAATTCTATGCCACTTCATTGTCTCTGATATTTTTATTTTTGTAACAAGCTAATTTCGTGTTCCATAGGGCAAAAGTTTACCAACATCCTCGTCCTTTTTAAGGCTGAATACAATTTTAATAAAATTTCACATCAGTGTTGCCAACATCATGTAACCAGGAAATACAATCATTAAAAAATATTGTATTTAAAAAATATATATATATATAGTATGTATATATATATAGTATGTATAGTATATTTTAAAATTTAAAAAGAAAACCAACAAAAAATATATATTATTAAATATAACCCATATTAAAGGTACATATTATGTACTTATATGGTTATTTATATCGAGAGCATTTCAGCCGAGTTTTTGGTTATCAGTGAACACTCACTTCCAAGGTCAAAGTAAGGGCATTCATTAATTACGTAAGGTGTCGAGGACGAGGTCGAGCCAAACCTCACCCAATCTCACGTGGGGGGAGGGTGTTCTCGGCAAATATCACGTAATTTTTTCTTTTCGAATGAAATAGTGTAAAATTGTGAGAAAACTGGGTTAAATTAAGTAACAAATTATAAGCAAATTGTTTTTTTAAATAAATCTAATGGAGTCAATCACAGATTAACTTATTTACATTAAAACCATGCATTTTAAAAAATCTCACGTCAGATTAAGGGAGGGGGGAGGGGGTCGAGCAAAATCTCACGACATCTCACCAAGGGGAGGGGGGGAGTCGAAAAATCCCAAAATTGCCTCACGTAATTAATGAATGGCCCCTAACACTTGATTTTATTGCTGTGAAATATTTATAATATAAAACTTTTCATTGCCATTAGGACCTATATCCCATTATATTCAATCGCTCGTATTTCAGGACGTTTGCAACGTCCACAACGCGTTGTGGACAGTTACGTTTAAAGTGATCGGATCTACTGCATTGAAAACATCGTTTAATTTCATTTCCCAGGTGACTACCGATAGTTCGTTTAATTATTCCCGTATCTCTCTCAGTGACTGTCCCTGCCGCTGGCTTTGCCTGAGATACGTTACCGGAATTTTCTGCCAAATTGGATTGTTGTCCTTACTAGTTAATAACAATTGTTTTCTCATAGATTTCTGGATTTTGTTCAAAGAGTTATTGGTCACAGATGATTTTAGACTGGTTTGGGCACTCAGGGTCGAGTGAGGACACTTTGATTGTCAGGATATGTCTAAAAATCTCTCCCTCTGTTAATTTTGTTGCAACAACAATGCTTCCAGTTTTTCATACTGTTTTTAATGTTGATGATCTCTTCCGATGTTGATTTTGGCCTGACACTTTTTTTTTTCTCTACTAAACCGAGTTTTTATTTTATTGCTCGGACCTGCCACTGGTTCTGCATTTTCTTCTTCATTTTTGTTTTCTATGTCTTGTAAATTCTGTTGGTTTGTTTTGTGCTTCACTCCTAATATGCTATGAATTTCTTAAAAAAATGGAGGAGGGTCTTTTTTTGTAACCCTGTGGTTTTCATATGTGCAATGTGTTTTAAATATATTTTTTGCATGTTTGCAAATTTTTGCTTACATTTTTCTGCCCCTTTCCCTGTTTCCTTTAATCATAAAACCTTAGTTCTCAAGTTCTGTGGCAATTAATTTCTATAATTGGACTTTGTCAGTTTTTTTTTCGTTACATTTTTTATCAAATTTCTCTTTGAGCTTTAAAAATGCTGCAGTACCTTCTACATCCCTTTCCAAACATTTGCTTTTATTTGACCATAAAGGCTGCTCATCTGTTTCTTGTTCATCTGCAGTTTTTTGGTTATCAGCAGTTTCTTGCTCATCTGCTGTTTCTTAATTAACCTATTAGGTACTGATTAAATTATTTTTCAAAACTAACTATTTTTTTTATATTTTTGACATTAATATGATAACTTTCATTTGAATTTTTTAAAATTTGTTATGAATTTTGAAGTATGAATGTGTAACCATATAGTCATACTAGTCCTAGTAATTATGTTATTTAAAAAAATACTGAAGATTAGAAAATATACCTTTTATTAACCCTTAAAGGGGCAAGGATTATATTTCAAATATTTTTTTTGTTTTGGCATAATTTCTTTATTACTTACATTACAGAGATCACAATTTTGTCCCTGCACAAAACATAATCTTATATTGCACTTTTGGCAGAAGACCGTGGTTTGTCCATTGATACACAGTCTGCATCATCCTTTCTCTGTAAATGTAGAAAAATGTCCTACTTGGTCGTATCTGATATCGTCAGTTGGTCTTGCAGTTACAGGAACTTTGATCTTTTTTGATGGCTGTTCTTTTGCGAAATCAGTTCTTCGATATTTAGTCTTTTGTTCGGTTTTCAGGAGTGATAAAGCCAGACTTGTTCGGAATGTTTTCAAATTGTCATGTCTCAAATTTCCAAGGGCTTCATTGTCGCGTCTGTACCACAACCAATCATTATTCACACAAATGTTAATAAGTTGACTAAAAATCCCGAGATACCAACGCCGTGACTTATAGAGTGTTTTATAAAGAGTTATCAGCATGTCCGCTAAGTCTACACTACCCATGTGGGTATTGTATTGTTTTATAATTTGTGGACACACCACGTCAACCTTCTTCCTCTCTTCTTTGCTATATGGTTTTACTTAAAGTGTAGGAGTGTGTGATACATACGAGCTGGCTAAGGTAACACATTTTGTGTCTGCCCATTTCACAACGGCTATGCCTACATTATTATCGACTTTGTAATTAAAACTTCCTCTACCCTTCTTGAGTAAAGACTTGTCCTGTTCCAATATACAACCATGCAAGCGGTTGCTTCGCACAGTACCCAAGCTATATATGCCGTATTCATTTTTCAGTAAAACAATCAGGTCCAAAGAGGTGAACCAGTTATCAAAATATACAATACTTTGAGTTGGTTTTGGAATTGTTTTACAAAGTTGTATTACTACTTTACCACCCGATCCAAGTTCAGATTCTGTTAGAGAAAAAACCATGTTATCGAAAGTAGTAGTTTTTTTGTTTGGAACCGATTCAACCAAGTGTCCGATTTTCGACGCAAACATCCACTAGGTAAGTAAAAATGGGCTAGTACCATTTCTTACCACGAATGCCAATCCATCCATTTGGTCAGTTCCGCCCATTCTCTTTTTTGTGCCCTTGAATATCTATTTGCCGTACTAACTGGATTTATACAGCATTGTCCATTCATCTTACTAATAAAACTGATATATTTTTTAAGAAAAACCAATAACTTTGGAGAAGTAAACAAGTTATCAAAAAATAAATTAAATGGAAGGGTTTTAACTTCCTGTGGAAAATAATTTATTAGCTGAAGCAATTGCGCTGATGTTCCAGGTTTGAATTTGGAATAGAGCCTTAATATACTTCAAAGTTTTTAAGGTAACCATTTTAAGTATTTATGGCCCATACTTTGTATCCAAACCTAATGGGCTTGCCACGAATGTACTGTTTACATCCGTGGCGCCCATAATATTCAATCATGCTTTCAACGTAGGAAATTTCCTGGTCTGGAACAAAGTGCTAAAGAAAACGTCCTTTTAGAAGATTTATAAATGGTCTTAGTTTCGTCATTTTGTCAGCTGGATCTAATTTGGTGTTATCGTTGAAACGCAAAAATCGCATAATTTGGATAAAGCGGTCCCTACGCATTGATTTATAAATGAGTTCATTGCGCATATCTTCCCCAGTATCCCAGTATAATTTATTTATATTTATAAAAAACTACAATAGGCTGTTATTATAAGAATGCCAATAAAACATCTTATTTCGCTAGGTGTAATTTTCGGGTCACAACAATTTATAAATCCTGCATATTTAGTGGATTCTTCTACCAAAAACTTTACTATTGCGTCATCCAATAACAATTCAAATAGCTGCACCGGGGACATATTTCTGTACATAGTGTATTTTTTTCCGTAAAAATTGTTCCTGAAACATGTAAATCGCCATCCTTTACCCAATTCCACTAAACATGTTTTTATATAAGGCGGTTTAGAGGAAGATCATGATTTTTTAAAATTTTAAAAAATCTGTAAAAATCTATGAAAAGCTACTATTATAAGGTTAAATTCTGTCAAGTTTCAAATTTTTTTAAACACTTGACCGGATTGATAAATTAATTATTTAATACCGAAAAACCCATGTGATTCAGATTCAGAAACTTAATTGCATTGCGGCATGGGTTAATATTAAGATAGGAACTTGAAACTTGAAGGACATACTTTTTCGAGTTCGGAAATTTTAATCTTCCACCCATATTTTAAGATGTGGCAACGTTTATACAAATTTTTAATATTTTATCATGATTTTTAATGTGTGAAAAAATATGGCAATATAATCTCGCAGCGGAGAAAAAAAATCCATGAAAATAAAAAAAACAGATTAAAATAGTAAAAGTGAAAGTTTTATTTTGGTCGAAAAAAAAACGATATTTCTAAAACTATGTTTACTGTTCTAAAGTTATAAAAAATATTTAAATAATTACTTAAAATCTTGTAACATAGTTTCCTTTTTTAAATTTGGGAAACGTGATTTATAATCTTTAACAACTTGGAGCAAAACATTTTTTGTTCTTCATTTTTTGTTAAAAGTTGATTATATTCAGCGATAAGCTTTATGCCTCGTTCAGCTGCATCATTTACTACTTTAATTTTATTAACGAAATCCAAACATGTTTATAAGAAGAATTTTCGCTCCAAGCTGTTGGATCAGTTTCCAAAAAGTAACCTCAATTTAAGGACTAGGCGTACGGTAGCTTAGCAGCGGAGAGATAGGTCGATGGGCCAATGTTGTTTCTTAATACTTACGTGCATAATCCAGAAAGAACAAAAAATATTACAATACAAATTGGCGACAGTTGTGAAAATCCAATTAAGCCAGACACAAACTAATTGGTAAATAAGGGTTATAAAAAAACAAATCAACGTAAAGTACACTATCGAACTAAAATAAAATTGTTTTATATATAATGTTTTAATATTTCCAAAAAGTCGAATTTTAGTAATTCAATATTTCCAAGAAAGTAAGTATTAACACAAAAGGACTAAAAGAATTTTAATGACCCAAAAAAATATTCTGGTAAAACATGTTAAGAAGACTTTTGCCTATATACGTGGTTGCAGTGTTGCCAACCGTACCATAATTATGGTATTTGTACCATAATTTTAAAGGTCTGTACCTTTCATTTTTATAGCGTACCATAATACCATAATTGTACCATAATTTCTTTTTTTACAATACTGTTCTAATAAAATTTAAGTATTATAATTTTTAAGCATGCTTTTGCACCGAAAATAAATTAAGCAAGGTTGCGATCAGTCCTGCCAGTACAGTAATAAATTTTCATAAACAGCTGTTATTAAAAATTAATGTTCTAGGTTAGCAGCAGTTATAACTGTTATGAAATTTTCTATTCAAACTTTTGTTTTTCACCTCTGTGGTTTTTAAGAAGATTTTTTCGAGCGGTATAAAAATTTAAAAAAAAATTGCCAGGTCAGTTATTGCTGGAAATTCTCCTTTTGGTACCAATTTCCAGAAATCTGCAAAATCTTCTGAAGAATTTTGTGCTTTCGAAGACAATTTGTTAGCAAAAAGTTTTTTTAACGTATCATGATTTTGCAGTTCAACAAGTTCTCATTGAATATTGGCAGGATAAGTAACTATTTCAGCCAAACTTATTATGAAAGGATTTATAAAAATTTGTACATTTTGTTTTTTACTTTCGAAATCTTAAAATCTCCTTTCATATGACTGTGATAAGCATTTAATTTTAGATTGGTATTTAGAGTAATTAACAGAAACAATATTGAGCTCCTCTTTCAAATGTTTTAGTGTGGGGAAGAGATCAATATTATCTGTGGACAAATTAATTGAAAAGAGATTAAATTTTGCTTTGAATCCGCTTATTAAATTAAACATAGTCGGAAGTGAACAGTCTTTACCCTGTGATTTGAGATTCAAAATATTGAGGTAATTCGTAAAGTCAACAAGAAATGCAAGATCACTCAACCAGGATGTATTCTTCAGTAAATCAACTTCCAATGGTAAAGCCCCTTTCTGCTCTAAAAATTGCAACATCTGTTCTCGCAAGAAACGTTTCAACATGCTGCCCCTTGAAAGCCATCGCACAGCACAGTACAGTTGTAACTCTCCATATTCTTCTTCAAATAATACCCTGAATTGACGTCCGTTAAGAGCTTTTGCACGTATGTAATTTAGGCAGCGTACTACTGGATCCATAATGTCATTCAACTCCATATCCTTTGCACACAAGGCTTCCTGGTGGATAATGCAATGATACGAAAATAAATTTCAAAATAAGAAATTCTGTAACAAAGCCACACAGCCATTGTTTTTTCCTATCATTGCTGGTGCACCATCAGTGCAAACAGATATGAATTTGTCCCACGATAAACTCTTTTTTTCAATGCATTCCTTAATTTTCAAAAATATGTCTTTTCCTTGGGTTGTACTTTCTAGCTGACAGACTTCTAGTAAATCTTGCAATACATTCCAATTTTCGTCAACACACCGCACAAAAATAGCCAACTGAGATCTACTCGTTAAATCGCAAGTTTCATCTAACGCCACCCGTCTCGTGACAGTGTGCCGTGAGAGTGAAATACTGTCCGCTTTAGCTTTGACGTGTTTATCATCACAATTTTGTGCACAGATCGTCAAAGCCTCTTTAACAATCTCTCCATCGGAAAACGATTTCTTCTTTTTCGGTAAGAGCAAAGAAATCTCGTAAGATGTTTTGACCATGGATTCAAGCTCGTCGTGCCTTTTAACGAAAATATTCTGTTGGTTAAATAGTTCCAGTTTCTTTTTCTTTAAAAAAATCTTCTCTGATAGCATTTTGATAGCATAGCTTTTTTTGAAAAAATATGTTTTTTAAGAAAAATTTAAATTTTTATTTTTTTTACTTTTTTATACCTTTTTGCCATAAAAAATCCAATATTTATTTTAAGTTTTAATAAACATTTTACCACTTTTTGTTGAACTTAAAAAATGTTTTTTATTTTTTTAATTTTTTTTTCTGGAAAAAATATTTTTTTAAGGAAAATTTAATTTTTTTTTTTTTTAATTATTTTTTTTACTTTTTTATACCTTTTTGTCATAAAAAATCCAATATTTATTTTAAGTTTTTATAAACATTTGACCACTTTTGTTTTTTTTTTTAATTTTTTTATTTTAAAAAATATTGCTCTCTATTTTCCCACGTGTAATTTTCTGGAATTTCTTAATATCTGTATTGTCTCGCTGCGGCATGATTTAAATTTAAAATAAAATAAGCTGTCAATTTCGTTGGTTTATCGACAGCCTGTCTAATTTCTTCGACATCTTCGAAATCGTCGAAACATACCGGATGATCATCGGGCATATGTACTGGTAAAGAAATGACCGCGTGCGTACGATCGCCCAGTTTGAATTCGAATAATCGCCAACATGCTTCCATGGCACTGATATATCTGCAATCGAGATAATGTCTAATTTCATCACAATTAACAGTGCCATCGTTTTCTTTTACTTGCACAGTTATGCAGTCGGGATCTTTATAAACATTTTTGTGTAAGTATTAAATAGACTTAATGGATCCGCAAATTTCAAAATTTATATGGCATTGATAATTCATCGTTGCATATCGATTATAAGGTATAACCCTCCTGTTATTCACTCGAACGTTATTCACATCGACACCACGTCCGTCGACAGGTCGTTTGTAAGCCGATTGACCCAAATGTTCCTCTAACAGCACCGTATGTTCTCGATATTGTTTCGGATAGCCCTTGCTACACATGCCATCCTTCATGCAAGGCGCATTCATGTTTTTACGGCCACACGGACGATGTACATAATTGGCCGCAATCATAGCGAAAAGATTCGGTTCGGTATTTGGATCAGTAAAATAGGCGCAAATAAGGGTATCGATTTTTTCTTCTGTATTTAACTTATCCTCCGGTCTTAAGGTAACCCATATGTGGGCGTGAGGCAAACCTCACTTCTGAAATTCCACCACATATATAGAGTACGATACAACACCGTAAATTTGCTTATTATTTATATCGTCCATAAACTCGGTCAATTTACAATTAAACACACGCGCTACAAGATCAGGACGATGCTGCCATTGTTGACGATATTATTTCTTGCCAATGCGGGTTACATGTCATCGTAATAAATGGATCCGGTTTACCTAAGCGGGACACGACTGTCATGGCATTTAAATACTTGCGAGATTGAAAGCGAGGACCACCAATAAAATTCGACGGCAACATAATGACGTTGCCCACTCGTAGATTCTCGTTGGCCGCTCTCGCCTGCAACATTCTATCTATCGCTTGTTTTTCAGCCACTCGTAATTGTTGTTGATTATTTCGATACCACCACAAGATGTTCGCTTTGGCACGACACCACGCATCCACTAAATATTGTTGAAACAACTTATCGCCGTGATGAATAATTGAGAATTGATTTTGTCTTAATTGTATTCGATATCGATAAAATTCTCTTATAGTTATGACTTTGTTTCTATAACGCAACGCCATATCGTAACCGTATTCACCTTTAGGAAACAAAATTGGATAAACCATCGGATCTGACATCCTATTTAAATTTTTCAATTCCCTGTCGGCATTAACATTTTTAGGATAAATTTTTAAATCAACATTAAAAGGCGGTCCATCGCCAATAAATACGGCTGCTATGTCGCTCCTACTTTCCGGTAAATTGTATTGTCTCAAATCTCGACGAATATTATCTACAAAAGCCAATATCATATCGTCGACGTCATGTCCCTGCGCCCTTCGTTCGTCAATTACTTCTTTCATGGTTTGATACGAACGTACAAACGGATTAACTTCTCGCAACATTAATTCAATTCCTTAAATTGTTTATCTCGACACCAACCGATCTGCTAATAAATTTGCTCTTCGATCGATCGCCTCATCGGCATTCACAAAATATTATTGATTCATTACTGGTTGACGTCTTTCTTGAGTTAATGGTATTGCTTCAGTGTAATGGTAAATTTGACCGCAAACACTAAAACTCCAATTACCTTGCCTATATTGTCTTTGTTGGGGAACACTCGTTTTAAACGACGCCATGGCAAATAAACTGTTTATAGATCGTATATTTGATCGAAAAAAACGTGCTTCGGGATTTTCATTACTCAAATACGCTCGCAATAAAGGAGGACACGACTTTAGCGCAGGCAGAACACAATCTTCGATATCCTTGTCTGTCGGCCTTTTCTTTTTCATAATGCAATGCCCCACAAAGTTGATATTCTTGATTGAATTGACCTAGATCGTATGTAGATAAAGTCTCTGCGACATTCTTTAAACGATACGCCTCATTATAGGTCACTTTATGCGGCACAACTGCATGCCTTCTGCGAGGTACCGCAATAGCACGAATAGGAGGCCTTAACGGCTCCTCAACAGGTGTTACTTCTAATATTTGTTCATCTTATTCTTAATCTAAACTAATACTTCTCACTAGCGGCACAATAGCGTCCACTTGAACATCGTCATTATTATTGTCTTTATCAACATTTTGCGCACGTACCGAAGAACCACCACTAGGTACAAACGACGAAGACGATCGGTGCTTTTGTTTCCGTTAATACTTGACGTAGCAACGTCGTGTCACCGCACCTGATGAAACAACCGTAGCTCTCGTCTGCGACAACAATTCATGTTGCGATTGAGTACGATATCTTTGTAATTTTCGTTTATACAATGCAGATTCTTTAATCGACACCGGCTTTCCCTTCTTCGGCATATTGAATATAGTTTATAATTAACACCACTGTTCAATTTTGAAATGTTCAACACTGAAATGTATGGTTGCAATCGTTGCTGCTGCTACTACTGCTCGTTTTTAATTATTTTCAAATTGATTTGCCCGATCTGGAACAACAGAAACAACTATTAAAATTTTTTTTTCGAAGAGCAAATTTATTAGCAGATCGGTTTGTGTCGAGATAAATAATTCAAGGAATTCAATTAATGTTGCAAGAAGTTAATCCGTTTGTACGTTCGTATCAAACCATGAAAGAAGTAATTGACGAACGAAGGGCGCAGGGACATGACGTCGACGATATGATATTGGCTTTTGTAGATAATATTCGTCGAGATTTGAGACAATACAATTTCCGGAAAGTAGGAGCGACATAGCAGCCGTATTTATTGGCGATGGACCGCCTTTTAATGTTGATTTAAAAATTTATCCTAAAAATGTTAATGCCGACAGGGAATTGAAAAATTTAAATAGGATGTCAGATCCGATGGTTTATCCAATTTTGTTTCCTAAAGGTGAATACGGTTACGATATGGCGTTGCGTTATAGAAACAAAGTCATAACTATAAGAGAATTTTATCGATATCGAATACAATTAAGACAAAATCAATTCTCAATTATTCATCACGGCGATAAGTTGTTTCAACAATATTTAGTGGATGCGTGGTGTCGTGCCGAAGCGAACATCTTGTGGTGGTATCGAAATAATCAACAACAATTACGAGTGGCTGGAAAACAAGCGATAGATAGAATGTTGCAGGCGAGAGCGGCCAACGAGAATCTACGAGTGGGCAACGTCATTATGTTGCCGTCGAATTTTATTGGTGGTCCTCGCTTTCAATCTCGCAAGTATTTAGATGCAATGACAGTCGTGTCCCGCTTAGGTAAACCGGATCTATTTATTACGATGACATGTAACCCGCATTGGCAAGAAATAACATCGTCAACAATGGCAGCATCGTCCTGATCTTGTAGCGCGTGTGTTTAATTGTTAATTGACTGAGTTAATGGACGATATAAATAATAAGCAAATTTACAGTGTTGTATCGTACTCTATGTATGTGGTGGAATTTTAGAAGTGAGGTTTGCCTCACGCCCACATATTGGTTACCTTAAGACCGGAGGATAAGTTAAATACAGAAGAAAAAATCGATACCCTTATTTGCGCCTATTTTCCTGATCCAAATACCGAACCGAATCTTTTCGCTATGATTGCGGCCAATTATGTACATCGTCCGTGTGGCCGTATAAACATGAATGCCCCTTGCATGAAGGATGGCAAGTGTAGCAAGGGCTATCCGAAACAATATCGAGAACATACGGTGCTGTTAGAGGAACATTTGGGTCAACCGGCTTACAAAAGACCTGTCGACGGACGTGGTGTCGATGTGAATAATGTTCGAGTGAATAACAGGAGGGTTATACCTTATAATCGATATGCAACGATGAATTATCAATGCCATATAAATTTTGAAATTTGCGGATCCATTAAGTTTATTAAATACTTACACAAAAATGTTTATAAAGGTCCCGACTGCATAACTGTGCAAGTAAAGGAAAACGATGGCACTGTTAATTGGGATGAAATTAGACATTATCTCGATTGCAGATATATCAGTGCCATGGAAGCATGTTGGCGATTATTCGAATTCAAACTGGGCGATTGTACGCACGCGGTCATGGCTTTACCAGTACATATGCCCGATGATCATCCGGTATGTTTTGACGATTTCGAAGATGTCGAAGAAATTAGACAGGCTGTCGATAAACCAACGAAATTGACAGCTTATTTTATTTTAATCTTAAATCATGCCGCAGCGAGACAATACAGATATTACGAAATTCCAGAACATTACACGTGGGAAAATAGAGAGCATTTCTGGCGACCAAGAGTGCAGGTAGCGAAAATGTTCGGTTGTATGGTGGAAGTATCGCCGTTAGAATTAGAAAAGTGGTGCTTACGTTTATTGTTGTCGCATGTGTCGGGAGCTACATCCTTTGAAAATTTAAGAACAGTACAAGATATTGAATATGAAACGTTTGAAATGGCTTGTCGGGCAAGACATTTATTGCATAATATCGATGAATACGATCGATTTTTGCAGGAAGCCTTAATGTTTCGTACTCCGAAAGGATTTCGAAAATTATTTGCATTAATATGTTGCATAGCAGCGGCAAATGTATTAGGTCAGATTCCCATATTGTGGGAAAGACATAGAGCCGATTTGATGGAGGATTATTTAGAACAGTATGATGGAGACGAAGTGGTAGCAGAGTTGAGAGCGTTAATGGAAATAGCCGATGTGTTGACAAGAAACGGCAATTTTACTTTACAACCGTTTGGTTTGCCTCCTATCGATCAACAACTTCTCGAATTTCACGAATTGCCTCCTAATAATCATAAAGAGGTCGTGTTCGCCGATTTCGCCGGCGATGAAAGTTTGCTGAATGAAGAAAAAAACGAAATTTATCGATTGGTCATGTCTGCGATCAATGATAAAATTGAAGGCGTCGATGCAGAAGATCGTGCTAATATGCTTTATGTCGATGCTCCTGGTGGCACGGGGAAAACGTTTCTTTTTAACACTATTTTGAAAAATCTTCGTAATAGACTTTTCCATACTGTTGCCGTTGCTTGGACTGGCATTGCTGCATCACTTTTATTAGCAGGAAAGACAGTGCATAGGGCGTTTAAGCTTTCGCTTAATATTACCGAACATACTTTGCGATGTGGTTTTCCAATGTCTGAAAGTCTGAAAGGGCAGATTATTTAAGAAATAAATACAATTTTAATTGTGTGGGACTAGGCGCCTATGTCGCCGAAACATGCTGTTCGTTTGGTTAACGATTATTTACGGGATCTCATGCAAAACCTAACGTACCTATGGGTGGGAAAATTTGTCTGTTTGGCGGAGATTTTTGACAAATATTAGTAGTTCCGCATGGACATAGAACGCAAGTAATTACTGCTTCTTTGAGAGCAAGTCCGTTATGGCCGCTGATGCGAAAATGTAACTTGCATCAAAATATTCGAGCGGGACCGGATGAGGTGGATTTTAGTGAATGGATGATGCGTTTAGGTGATGGAAAATTAGCGCACGTTAAAATTATCAAAGACGACCAAACATTACCTCAAGATCTGATCGAAATTCCCAAGCAATGCTTAATAAAGACGTACGAGTTACTTTGTAGGAGTGTGTTTGGCGACAAATTTCAACATGCAGGTGCATGAGATCGAGCGGTTTTATGTCCCACTAATATGTCGGTAAACGATATAAATCATTATGTGCTCGACAGTTTATCGGGACAAATTAAAACGTATGTGAGCGTTGATTAATACGACAATGTAGAAGGAGATGAGCTTTATGTAAATCAAGATTTTCTTCATTCCATCGCGATAGCTTCGTTACCTCCACACGAATTAGATTTAAAAGTTGGAGCAGTATGTATGTTATTAAGAAATCTTGACGTCGAAATGGGTCAAGGTCAAATAGTGGAAATGAAAGAGCACGTGCTTGTAGTCGAATTATTAAGTGGAACGCGTAAATTGGTTAATTCAAGGCGATACCGTTTTAATTGACCAATACAGATTATTATCTTTCTTTGTGTACCTATTGAAAAATTATATTTTTTAGCTAAATTCAAACATAGCCTTATATTTTTTTTAATAAAATTTAACCAAACTTTGATATCATTTTGGGTGGATTTTTTGGTTAAAATAATAAAGGCATTTTTAATTAAATTCAAAGATTCCGTACATACCCTGAACACTTCAGATTCGGACATTTTTCTTAAATTTCTCGTATTTCAACTTGGGGTGTAGCCTTGTATTTGGAGTTGACGTCGAAATCCTTTAAACCTAAGAACATCAAACCAAATTTCCCACCATTCAGGTCCTCCAAATTCTTTCCAACCACTTCGGTCGTAGGAAGACTTTACGCTCCCCCAATTCAACCAAGCGTAAATAGCCAAATTTACCTTTAACAATCTTAATGGATGTTATGGGGTAAAGCTCCCCCTCTACCAACTCTTGAAGTTTTCGGACTTCTTTTTCAAGCACCGCTGCTACGGCTTTAACTTCTTTTAAAAAAGCCATACTAGAAACATTAATATTTACTTATAAAATAAAAAATAAAAATTAAAAAATAACTTACTTGAAATTGTATACACACAGGTAAACCATAAAAATATTTGCACAAGATGTTGTACAACTTGCAGTGAATATGTTTTTGCAAATTTGCACTCCTTTTTATAGAAAGTTTTCAAACCAAATGTTTACGTTGCACTAGTTCAAATATAAAAGTGTGGGATAGTAATTATGATATTTTTGCAAACTTGCACTCTTTTTATGGATAGTTTTTCAAACCAAATGTGAAAAGAATCGGATCTTAATTAGGATCCCGAATCTTTGTAATAATGTCCCACTAGCGGACCGCAGCCACACGCTTCAGTTAAGGCTTGGAAACTAGTGGGTAGTTGAGTAAAACACAATAGTCTTGTTAATACTGACTTTAATTATAAAATTGTTTCCTTATATACAAATGGCATATTTTATTTTACATACTTATTTTACAAACATCTTAATGTTAGAAGGTTGTATTTTGTTATGTTATTGCTGACGCGGTTTGTTCGCTTAGATGGCCGAAGTAGGTCAATTAAATAATTATTGTTTAATTTTAAGATTAAAAATCCTGCCGGGCCAGCAAGGGATTAGGGTGGGTAGATGAAGTGGTGGCGCGAATCTCCTGGATTTTGGGATACAGTGGTTCAAGGGTCACTATTTCTTCTGGGATTGTTGGTGTCTTCTTTGAAGTTCTCCAAATCTGTATTTGTTTTATTCCAAACCAAGTACTTATGATTAAGATTACCACTATAGAGCTAGTTATCACGCTTGTTATGGCGGAATGATGGTGGACATTATGCCAAGTATTTTCATCAAGGCTATCCTGGATCTCTCGTTCTTCTTTCATCAATTCTTCGATGTTTCCAAGGTTGTCTGACGGCCTGAGTACCAGTTCTTGTCCGGAATTGTGGTGGAGTTTAATATGACGTTTTGACGTTAATAACGTCAAGTTTGCCACCACCGGACGGGTAAAGCTGGACAACACAGGGATTTCTACTATCCGCTTCGGTGTTAGCACGTTCCTGCGGGTATTAACTGTGCAGCTTTTGGATACAGTAAGAATTCCTGTTCTATTCAGGGCTATGTCATTTCTTATTCCATTACATGTGACTGCTACTTTGGTGATTCCGGGAGTGATAAATAGCCAACTGTTTATGGCGTACATCTGTTTCGAAATTGCTGTATGAAATTTTTGTTCTTTAATCTCACATGTCGTGTTGTCGCTTCTTTGATATATTTCATCTTCTTCGTATCTGGCGGTCATGCTGACTATTTTTATGTTAGAATCTTGACTAGGATTTCCCCCGGACACTATTCATCCAAATTCCGTGTTTTGGCCAAGAAATCCATTTGCTGTTTTGTGCACTCCGTCCAGCAGTATTTTCGCCACTTCTTCAGCTCCTAGGAGAATGTCTATGGGTCCCATCTTGTTGAACGTTGGGTCAGCCAATACTTTGTTCTGCCCTTGTTCCATGTCTATATCAAAACTTTTTTCAGGTAGTGTCCTTGTTAGTTTGGGTAGCACTAGGAGATTTGTTGTCAGCTTAAATGTATTCGGGAATCTTGGGCTACAAGTAAGTGTCACTTGTTGGCTTGATGTTTTTATGTCCCCATCTCCAACACCTGATAGGTCTGTGGATACCTTTTGCCTTGAAAGGGCTAATAGGGTTGCTGCTTCTTCCGTGATCAAGGATGTTTGAGAGCCTTGTTCGATGAGTACTCGTGCATACTCTATACCTCCACTCACTGTTTTGGCTTTAATGAGTGCGGTCGCTAGTAGTACTATTGGACTCTGATTCCCCACGTGGTTGCTTGCCTTGTTTTTTTTTGTTGTCTACCTTTGATTGGGTTTTCTGTTCCGTCTTTTCAAAGTGCAAGAGCGTATGATGACGTCTCGAGCACACCGCACATCTTCTTTCTGATGTGCATTTTGCAGCTGCATCATGCCATAGGCAATTAATGCACAAATTTTTTTCTCTTATTGCCTGGCTCCGTGCTGTCACTGACAGGCCCCTGAACTTTGGGCAATAACTTATCGGATGTTGGTCTTGGCAAAAACTGCACACGATCTTATGCCCATGAAATGGCTGCTGCCTCTTGTTCTCTACTGCAATTGTCGCCGTCAATCTGGGACTGCTGGGTGTTGCCTCTAAGGATTGAAAACGGTTTCGCAAAAAGTTGATTTGATCTTGAAACATTGAATTACCAACGGATCCTTGATAGAAGACTCATATAACCTGTTTGTTTCAGCATCCCATTTTTTCGAGATCAAACAGCTTATTATTGGACCCCATGAGTCTGTTTTTATTCCCATCAGCTCAATTGCAGCCATGCATTCACTTATGATGTCGTGGAGTTCTTGTAGTTTTCTAGCTGATTCATGGTGAATTGGCGGGAACTCCATCATTTTATTAAGTAACTTTGTTAATATTAACCTTTTGTTATTGTACCTTTTTTTAAGCTGCTCCCATGCTGCTCCGTAATTAGCATTTGTTATGGGAAAATGTTGAATGGCACGCGCTGCTTCGCCTTTAAGGTGAGTTTTTAGATGCTGCATTTTTTCTACGTCGGACAAGCGTCGGTTGTTATGGATTATTTGCGTAAATATGTCTTCGAAATTGGCCCATTCCTCGTAATTACCTCCGAAAACTGGAATCTGGACCTGTGGTAGTTTGATTGATGTGCTTCTATCATTGTCGCTTTCTGTTTGTTTTAACCTACGTATTTTTTGTCGTAGGTCACAAATGCGGTCTTCGCATTAGATTTCGATTAGTGTATACGTGTTGTTCGTGAAATACGATGCCTGACGTAGTGTGTCGTCGGCTCGGATTTCAAAATGTGCTGATACTATTACTTGCCATTGATTAATTAATTTTTCAGACAGAATTTCGTACCTATCTATAGTCTGGTCATGGGCTAATGCGACGTCAATTCTGTTCATTATTTGCTGAAGATCCTGTATGCGTTGCATCTGGTATTTTACTCGTGTATCTTCGTCTTCGCTGGATTCGTTAATACATGTTGTTGAGTCCTGAATGTACTTATAACAGTCCCGATACGATTTTTCGATTTGTTTATAATATTCTAATGTCCAATATTCATGAGATAATTCTTTGATTTTAATTATCTCGGCATGAGTTTGTTCCGCATTGGCCCAATGTTCGTTCAACGCCTCAGTGCGGAGTTTAAAGTATTCAGTTGACTTTCTTGAGGTTGAATCTTTCTTCATGTTGGTGTATAGTTGAAGGATGGCCTTCCCAGTGACCTGTTGTTTGGTCACCAGCTCGTTCATTTTTGGGTTTGTGTTTGTCATCTTAAATTGTGTCGATTTGATTATTTTCTAGATATGAAACTGCACCACTTCTGGATTGGACTGGTACAATTTTAGGTTCGAAGGACCATGAAAAGAATCGGATCTTAATTAGGATCCCGAATCTTAATTTATTTATTTATTTATTTATTTATTTAGTACATACAGAGAAAATCCAAGTCGTACAAAAAAAGATACAGTAAGAATACTTATATCAAAACAAAAAGAGAAGAAAAAATATATATAATACACAAATATATTATTAACTATTATTAATAAGGTATTTTTTTAAAGAAAACAAGCTTATATTAAAAATATCGATATTACAGGAATTCAGATTA